CCGGTGATATTCACGTTCGGGTGATGCCTTTTCAAATGAGTGTGCAAGTTTGATGTATTGCCAGCCGCGTAACCTATTTTAGTTGAACAATGCCGACAAACAGCTTTGGTTTGGTCCACCTGTCTTTGTCCGTCATCCTTGTACGTAACTGCGAAACCAAAATGTTCCCAAACCGGAGACTTCAATGATGCTGGAGGATTTTCGAGCTCAACTTTATCTGCGTTCGCCATTTCAGACAGTTCCTCAAATTATTGACTAAATTTGAACGCATCCCTGTGACCAGCTCTCATAGTATGCCTCTCGTCCAATGAAATGACTTGCTCGCTCTATGACGCGTTGAACCCAATGTGAGCAAATTACTCTGAATGCTGCGACGCAGCACCTGAGATTACTTCCAAAAAGTTGTTCACGTTCTCAATTTTTTACGTGTAACGTTATATTTGTTCGGTACACTTCGGTACACACGTGTACCGAACCGAAGGGCCCGTACCGAATAATTTCGGTATGGGTACGTATACATGTTCATACAATACTGAATACATTTGAAGCCATTTTGACGTATATTACCTATGTCAATAAGTTTCTGTTTTTGTAGTGTATTTGTCTTTTGTAGAGATTTTTCATTTATTCTTTATATATAAAATCTCGCCTAAAATCTTGTCTAGGGCAGCAAATTGTCTAGAACCGGCCCTGGTACTAGGCCTCAAGAGCCTTTCTTGTGCTGGCAGACACATAGAAACAAATTGGCGGGGCGCACTTCGCACGCACACACTAAAAAATTCCACGCGCCCCGCGCTCACTTTGTGCTGGGCCCACGTGCCTTAGCACCGCTGCTATGACTCAATCCTAGGGGAAACACTGGGTTTACTTGAAAATGCATACCAGCATCGTAGCGTCTTGGTCATTTGGACTTCCTGGACTTACATTTGCCCAGTTCATTCCTTCACTTACACTCATCCCCCGCTGTCTCCTATACTTCGTCTCCATATCTCCATAGATGTCAGTAGAAGAGCTGGAGGCCTATGTGAACAGCCAGTTCGATGAGCTACGCAGACTGGTGCGTCTGGAGGAGAAGAGGACCCTTCACCTGGTAGACCTCAAAGAAGCCTTCCTAACGGCATCTGCTGCTGAGAAAATCGCTGAGATCTCTGTCGAAACGGAGCGCCTGCAGGAGGAGATGGCCAACATCACACACCAGCTGTGCCTGCTGGAAAAGGCGGAGGCGTTGGGCCCTGCGGGGGCAGCAGTAGCTCTAGCAGCGGTACCACCCCACAGAGTCCAGGTGAGAAGAACCTTTCTTCCTTATCGTCCTTATTCTGATCCTTAAACTGCTTTCACACAATCTGCAGTCTGTATCTCACTTACTGCAGAGTTACAGTGAAGGTAAATAGAAAGGTTAGCAAGTTTATAATGTCACCAAAGCCCAGTGGATTTTAAAGCTTCAATTGGCACTTCGGAAACTGTGAAACACACCATTTCACCTTCTTTATATTGCTGCTTTACATAAGCCTCAGTCTCATGCATTAGACTTCATTAGACTGATGTAGATAAAGGTGCTAAAATGTGGCCTGCTAAATCTAAGGTCACTTCTTTGTGGAAATAATTAATGGGGTTTTTCATATAGTTATAACTATCTTCAAGACAAGAAACTACTCAGAAAATTGACTTGTTTATTTTTGTATGGCTGTTGACAGTATTTTCAGATTTATTGAGTTAAGTAAAGATATAAAATATGTCCTCCGTAAAAACCTTGGCTGTCATACACGAACAACATGAAACGACCATTTAGAACCTGGCTTTATTACATTTTCAGATTCCTGTCCTGGAAATGTATTCAAAATAATAAGATATACCTGAATTTGCATATTTTAAGATAATATTTTAGAAAATATGTAATTTAATAAAGGTAAGTAATCAACATTGAACATTTCATGGTGAAATCTGATAGTTAATTATGTGACGATGTTTACCTGTAGTGCCTCCTCTCAAGTTCAAAATGTTCACTCTTTTACCAAAGGGAATCCAATCATACTGAATGCACTTTTTTCAGAGATGAAAGTTGGTTAATAACTGGTGAGCATTTAACTTAATTCATATAGCAATCTTAGCTTGTTATAATCAAAATGTATGACCAAACACGAAAACAGTTGAAAGAAAACCTGATGTTTTAGATCCAGAGACTCATATTTAAGTAAAGCTTAAATTACTAAATAAAATGACAATTGATGAGATCATATTGATAGAGCCCAAACAAACACGGTCAATGATAAATTAACGTAGACTTTAAACACAGAGTTCTGCTGCCAAAGCAGTTACTGAGGGCAGCCTTGTAAAACTGGCACTATTGCCTTGTCAATAAACAATTACAAACTATTTGCCAGCAAGCAGAAAGCTGTTATGTTGCTGATCATCTGTCTCCAACTTTACAGAGCATGCTGTAGTAGACATTATTTCAAATGTAACCTCAACCTGTCTTCATTTGCTTATGACACGACTTATCTTTGTTATATTTCCGCTGATGGAGAGTCGGTCCGATGCGCTGCTTAGGGACACTTTAGGCAGGGTATCCTCAATGCTAGCAGCCATGGGGTGTGATCCCAGGCCTTCAACTTAAAGCATTATCTTACTAATGATCGCGGCATCTGCTACATAGTCATTATGGCGAAAATTAATATGGTAAACAGGTGCCGCAATACACAGCTTTGTTCCAAATGAAAGGAGAGACCAGCTGTAGTTATCCGGGCGTATATATTATGTTGAGAAAAATGCAGTTTCCCTATCATACAGTCAGCTGTGTCAGTGTGATACAGGTAGTTAGATGCACATAAATCCTGCACTGTAGGCTGATGTTTGTCTTCTAATTCTGCCATGAACACAGCAGGTACACTCTTCTTCTTTTTACATGCCCGCCCGTTAGTCATAGTAAGCTTCCCATGCCAAAGTGCTGAGTGCTGTTACAGTATGTAATTCATACATTTACACATACATTGGCACGAAGGAAATGGCATGCCAACGCACTTAGGTCACTTCAGATCCTGCTGCACTTCACTCCCTCATCTCTAATTTGGAAATTGAAGTGGGGGCTTTTACTGCCTATAGATCCCAGATGAAAACATCCCATTGGTCCATTTGTCACTCTCCATACTTAAGTCAGCACAGTCAGGAAAAGGAGGCCTGAGTGTTCCCTGGTGATGCTCTGTGGGAGCAGGGAGGCTGCAGTAATGGCGGTAGCTGACGTGCAGATTGCTTTTCTGGCTGAGAAATGAATCCATTGTGGGCCAGGTTCATTAAGGCTCTAATTGAATGCCGATGGTTACCCTGTTTGTTCTCATGTGTTAGTTATTGCTAGAACGGGCAGTGTTATTTTATCACTGGAGAGGTGTGTGTAGGTGTAGAGAGGGAGCTTATGCAGCACTTTATTCATCCAGTAATTATATGTCTTTTTAATGTTGATCTGGGCTGAGTTTTAATGTGTAGTCTGAGATTTAATGTGAAAGAATCTCGGGGTGCCAAAACAGTCATTGCATCGCAAACTCAGCAAGACCTCCAGCAATTTTGTCCTCGGTAAAACATTTACGACGTGTAGAGAGCCTCGTGAATCCAGAGAACAACTGGCTCAAACATGAATTCTCCTTTTTGCTCCCTCACTCTGTCACTGTTAGTCTCAAAGTGGCTGTGCCTACAGACGGCAAATTGAACTACAATCATTCACTTGCCCCTTTACTGCAGTTCTGCTCAACTGTGATGCTAGAACTTAAACAATACTTAGTTTGATCCATCTACCAATAGTTGGTTCGATTCATTAGTTAGTAGGTGTTAAAACGGGACAAATCTCAAACTGACAGCTCAGAGTGATGTTTTGACTTGCCTGCATTCAAAATCAACAACTAAGTGTAGAATGTATGAAGATTAGGAAAGCAACACGTACTTTTTAGGCTTTGGGTTGATACTCTAATTGATTCATAGGTTGTTTCAGCACACACCGCTAGCAAGAGCTGCAGTAGTGTGTATTCTATATCATTATTTTTGCAAAAGTCCTAGAATGTCAGTGTTTTGGATTTGAAGTCAAGGAAAGAAACCATAACATCAGGGTATGTGACACTACAAAAGAAAATACTCAAAAACTTTTTAAAATATGTATAAACCTTGTGAATTTTAGTTTTTTGTTTATTTCCCCATGTGTAAAGTGCAACCTAATCCTGTTTGCCAGAGAGGTAGAGAGGTATAGCCTCTAGCACTTTTTGGAAGAAGTGCCTTGATTCCAAAAAAAGGTTTTGAAGTAAAGCTTTGAGCTTCAGAGCAAAGTCAGAGAGTGCTAGCCGCCTTTAAAGAATAATAAACTCATATACTGCAGTCTGCTGAACGAAGCAACTATGATGTCAAATGTTTCACACCTGCATAAAACCCATCCTTTAAACTGCTCCCAAAAGAATAAACCACATAATTGAGGTGAGTCTTCTTGCTTAAGGTCAAACAAACAAATTACCACTGGTTCAGTTATTAATCTCTTGTCTTTGATTAAATGCAGGCACAGGAACATAGGTAAAGACACACATACACACACATAAAAAAGATGTTGAGCGGGGATGAGAAAAACATTGACCAATCAGTGGGAGCCAGAGGGAGAATATATTAAGAGACTTTGTGTCAGACCGAAAACATTTGTTATAAAAATACTCTGTCCCCAGATTTTCATTAAAAAAGGGCCAGTAGGCACCCATTTGTACAACCACGGAGTGTGTTTACTTGAACATTCCCTGACGACCATACAGTAATTAAAAGACATTTATATGTCACTTGGCAGGAAATGATCTTTCTGCTTGACTGGTAGGGACACATACGGGGCATTAAAACAGAGCCAAGACGCCTCATCAGCCAGGCGTTAAGAGTCTGCAGCAGTGACCCCACCATGACTCAGCAGCGTTACCTGGCTCACTATAGTGCTCCGAGGCTGATTAAAAACAACGCAGCTGCCTCATGGCTACCTTTTAAATCAGATAGGAAACATTGTTTTTACACCATCGCGTTTATTTTAGATTTGTTCGTATTCATCTATATTGCATGTTTGAGAAAAGGTTAGTTTCCATTCATGAACAATATAAAATGATAATTTATCAATATTTCCTCATTAGGGCTCATTTTCCATGCATGGACTTAAATGTGCACCATATGAAGCCCTTAGTTTTTTATTTCATGATAGACTGGTCTTTCTTACTTTTTCTATATGGTGGAACTAATGAAATTTGATTGGTATTATGTATTGATCATTGCAGTTAGGCTTATTGTTTATATACATTTAACCTCATTAGGGGTTTTCTTTTGAAGTTTGACGTGTGAGATTACACACAGATCAAGGTTGCATCATTCCATAAAGTTGATTTTTATTTGTTTAAATTATGAATGGAGCTGTTTCAGGTTGCATCCTTTAATGGTGTATGCATTTCTCACAGTAGCATTGAGAGTTTGAGTTTTTATATGCACATATAGATTTCACTGCCTTAGGCCATGTGAATAATATGATATAAGAAATATGAAGTCTTGTTTTATTCAACAGTGAAGGTATTATTTTAACAAAGGCGTAATAAACTGTGGTTATCTAAAGCCGGAAAACAATGCTTCATACCCGTCAGCCTTTTTTTCTAAAAGTATATTTTTTTCAATTTTGTGGGCATCGGCAGAAAACACTCTTTAATTGGACCATATTTAAACAAAGCACACAACTGGGACTAAAACCAAATACCATGGTTGTGGTTTCTTGAGGAAGTGACCAACATTTACTAATGTTATGATAACGTTAGCTCAGCATTATTTGTTGGATATCTTCATTGTTTATTTTGTCTCTTTAGGGAAGTGATTACAAATATGAAGTGTCACGCTTTAGTATGCAAACATATTTCCTAAAGTGTAGAAATGACTCACTTAGAATAGATTGAAACTTGACTTATGATATTTCATGTACAGTCCATTTAATGGATCACTGGCTAAGGGTGCTTTACTGAAACATGTTCCATATATATGTTTTACCCGGCAACATAATTAGTTTTTAAAAGAAATATGTCTCCTCTTGAATTTAAATGTTCTTGATAGATCAAATCTTATATATGTGTAAAGAGACAGTTGAATTGGGATTTAATGAAAGCAGTTCTGCATGTCTTCTTCCTTTTTGGTCTACTGCCACTGTTGAATTCTACTCGTCACAAAGCTACTTGGTAAATGTCAGTTTTGCACTAATTGACTTTTGATTCTATTTAAGTGTTCGACAAGGTAAACCAGAAATAATCTCACCAAGTTCCAATATTTGAAAATAAGTATTTGTCCAGATTCTGAAGCTAATTAAATCTCCGCAGCCTCCACTCATCAGCTCTCCTCTCATGTGCTGCACTGCCAAGGAGCCACTGGCTTTGAGACACCGTTAGTTAAAAGCCCTTTCTGATGCAGCCATTTTAGCGCTGGTAGTCGAGGTCCACTGCTACAGTTCAGTCAGGACTCAGCGGACTGTTAATGATTACAAAAGAGACCGCCATGTGCTCAAAGTCCTCTTGACTGAAAATAAACCAATTGAGATTAGGGATGGTATAACAAGTAGTTTGGCTGTAGTACATGACAGTGATTTCAAGTGTATTGCATTGATACTGGAGCTGTGTGTTCTTCATGCTAAATAATGAGTTTAAAAGTGGTACATGGTGTAGATTCATATTAAATAAATGTTATGTGTTTAAATGTGAAATAATGCATTAACAGCTTCTCTAAATTGATAGAATCTGAAATGTGATTACATTTTTCATTTGGCGCATGAATACCTTTTTACTTGATGTATTTGTGTACACCAGTAGTCAAAAAGTCACATCAATCTATTTGACATGGAAAACAATCTTTCAAGCCCCAATTACAATTAAACAGTAAAGCCAGCATGTGAATAGTGTTGTGCGGCTAACTTGGTGCTTTGTTCCACACTGCTCCTTTTTAATATGATCATGAATAAACTGGTGGATAAAAATGAACATGAAATGGTCAGATAAAAAGCCACACCAGCTGTGTTGACTAGGGTAATGTTAATGATGTTGTTTATCTTTGTATCTGCTATCCACAACTGCCGTGCAAAGATTTTAATTATGATTTGTTCTCACTCTGTCTTTTTCTCCTTGTTTGCAGCGCGACATTGAGAACAGGCCAAGGTAAGACTGCAAGTGTGATTCATTTCCACCCTTTCAAAACAGGATAGTTTAGCGGGCACTAAGGACCCTTCATAACATCCTCACTCACTCAGGTCATTGTTACCATCAAGCACCATGAGACTGTTGATAACACAAACACACCCTGCAAGTCTCTTGTAGTGACTCACTCGCGCAACTCACAAACTCACGACAGACACAGGCTCCCCTAAGCACACAAAAAGCCTCCAAACTTCAGCAGTCACATGCGAGTCACGTCTGTGCCCCAGCGAGGCAATTAGTAGCTCTCATCTGTGTGTGCCTGTTGGAATCAGAAGAGGTGACAATCTGCCTGGTCCAATCAGAAAGCTATGCAGAGAGGCTGACAGGCTGCAGCTGTGTGTGTGCTTATATGCCTGCATACTCTATATGTGTGCACTTTAATAAGACAAGCTGTTTTGTCATGAGCGGGGTCAAGTCTCACGGCCTGATTTAGTAATACATTAATGAAGATGATTATGTTCAGGTATATGTGAAGAAAGTTAGCGACTAAACTTCGCCAAGAGGCTAAATAAGGCTCATAACTTTGATACATTCGAAAAACCATTACAAGAGACATTTATCAACAAAATAATAGCAAAAGAAGTAGATAAAAAGCCTTTTTAAAATCTTTTATTTGACATGTAAGTTGGTCTCCAAGAAGGAGGCACCAGACAAAAAATGCTATTTGGGGGGGAGGGGGTTTGAGAGCTATCTGATATTTGATCAAATACTACTTTATTAACTTTTTCTAAAACTCTATTTACATTTTGTCTAAGGACAAGTATATTTAAAGCAACAATTGCATGTTTCAGGATTTTGGGAATTAATTATTTTAAACTTCATAAGTGGGACACAAAATGTCTTCCAATTCTGGATTGACCCAGTTGTGTTTAGAATTAACAATTCATGAAAATGATAGAAATGATAAAACTTGGACAGGAGCATCCATATTATTTTCCAGTTTTTTCCAGTATTCCAGTTGCGTTTACGGTTTGTTTGTGTAGTTTTTGCGACATCTTTGACCTTTTATCTCAGTCTGTGTTAGACAATCTGAACTGGATAGTCCTCTCTCAGTCTCAAAGTTATTGATCTGTTGACACGAAAACCCATCAGCCTCCTTCTCCTCGGTGCAGCAGCGCTCCTAGCACCACCTGCTGTCTCTGCCTCTCCTCCTGGCTGCCCCTCTGGGCTTTTATCTCTAAGTACTTCTCCTCTTCTCTAGACAAACACACACACACACACACACACACACACACACACACACACACACACACACACACACACACTCAGACACCTTCATCAAATTTCAGCACATCTGTCCTCAGAGAAAATAACCTTATTTTCTGTGGGACTTGATTTAAGATGAATACTAAAATAATTCGGTGGGACACAAAAAAAAGCACTTTTGATTGGCTACAGGCTCTTTCTCTGCAAACAGAAATGTTATGTTTTATTTCACTTTGTGCTATTGATATTGCGGCGCTGCCTGCTAGTGGGAAATGTACTGTATTTCCTCTCTGGAGTGTAATGTGCCTTTCTTTTAATAAGCAGAGAAAGTCACGACTATGGCTGGCGCACAGTGCCAACATGTAATATGTTATTGATTGGGCAGCCAGTATTATAACCCCGCTCTGCAGCAGATGGCAGCGAGCTTGGACCCAAGGGTGAGATGGAGCTAATAGTTTGTCCTTGGACAAGGTTAACCTCGACATCTCTGCACAAACACACTCTCGGAAACAATTACTCCCAAAGTTCCCGGCCTTGCCCTAGAATGCAGTGGGTGCAGATTCTACTGTGGCCAGTGGAAGATGACACTCTTTGAAGAGACATACTGGGAAAATGTATGTTTTTGAGAGGTTAGTAGAAATTGTGAGTTTATTATGGGTCTTAAGCTGTAGAGACAGGACATGTGAAATGTTTGAAGGGTAAACAAACAAAGGAGATATCCTGTCTTTGGAAAGGAGATGAAAGAGAAGGGAGTGGAGGGAAAAAGAAAGGATAACGAATGTGCAGGATCAAGTGAGGAGTGGTTGTTTGCTGGTTATGTGCAATGGGACCCAGACAGCAAATTGATTATGGAGCAGAAACACTAATCTGCTGTCTGAGCCCCATATCGCCGCTGTAGACGGAGCTTCCCCAGGGGACAACAATCCTGCACCCACACGCTTCTTTCCTGCACTTCCTCATCAATACCATCCCCCTCCTCTCCCCGAGCCTCTTAACATAGGTACTCCATGCCTGCCAAGATGTGTCCTCCTCTGAATATAAATCTTCCTTAACTCCCCTCGGCCCAACCGTCTCACTGCTGCCTCTTATGTGATGCATTGCAAATTTCACTTGCCTTCCTCGGCTTTAACCCACTCACCTCCCCTGCAACCCCTGTCCCTGATGTGCGCCTCTTTTACATGTTTTTGAATGTCTATGTGTTTGTCTCTTTATTTGCATGTGTGTATTTGTATGTAAGAGCCTAGTAGAGGTAAACCAGAACAGTGTTTATCATCTACCCTTATTAGGCTGTTGCAATCCTTTGAAAATCTATTTTGTGTGTATGCACGCAATAATGTTTGTTTGAACTGTTGGGTTACGGCCCGTCCACACGGCGTCGTGCGTTGAAGCTTCAACGCTTCGGTCCATTCACTTTGAATGGGGTGACTTCACGCTTTGCCGAACTGCATTGTGGGAGCGTTGCTCGCTTCAAAAGTTGAGCAATGTTCAACTTTTGAAGCTTCGGCGGAAGCGTCAGCCAATCGAATCATATGCCAGTACAAGCTCTAGCCAATCAAACCGCGTGCTTGTGTGTCCGGGGCGTGAGATTCATGTGATTGGTTGTTGGTCGAGTTTCAGACACGCCCACCGGCAAGCTTCAACGCACGCCGCCGTGTGGACACTGCGT